GCGAATTTCATTTTGCCTAGAATGTCCATTTTATAATAATCTTAGAGAAATGACAATTCCAAATTATTATTACAATTTCCCGTCACAACAGAAACTGTCTCAGTTGTTCATGACGAAGAATATACTTCTTATTAATAATCTTGGAAAATTTGTGTATCTAGCTTTAAAGAAGCGTAATGCATTCTTGAGTGTATAGTACCCCTACAGCCTCTTGTATCTGCTGATTAGCACTTGTGCTAATATTGAATATTTTATGGCGCTTGTTAGACCTTGCACTTTGTACATTTGTATAATGGGCCTGTGGCCCCTTTACTTGAATAAACCTCTCTCTCACTCGGGTCCGAGTCGGGTCTGACACCTCGAGTACTCGAGTCCCAAATTTTGGACTCGTGAGAGCCCTAGTCTACAGTCATGTAAATAAATCTCATTCAGCTCGACATAGCTAAGGCAAAAGGTACGTTGCTTGAAAAATGTAAACATCAGCACAATATCGTAAATCACTACCTTAATATATTGGATATACTCCATCAACAACATTAAGTAAGAATACAAGCTATTTGCGTTTGGACCACCTTCGGTCCGGGTTAGGATTACGGTTAAAGTGAGTGAGTATGGTTTAACGCCGTTTTTAGAACTATTCCAGCAATATCTGGAACACCAGAAATGGGCTTCACACATTGTGCCCATGTGGGGAATCGAACCCGGGTCTTCAGCGTGACGAGCGAAGGCTTTAACCATTAATCTACCCCACCGCCCCGATAAGGGTTAGAACGTACGTCTATGACTTTATTGTTGTAACATTATGACCAGGTTTATGTGGAAATGGAAAGCCTGCTTGCTCGAACTAGACTGGTCTCTTAATGTTTTTTTCCCTTTTCCCATTTCCAAGAATTACACTTGGACGTTTATATAATCTAACCTGAAGCGAACATCGGCATTAGCTGCAACTATAGCCATGCGGTTCTGAAGCTCACCTTAATGCATCTACGAGAAGCTACAACAACATAGGCTTCCACCAAAAATACACGCTTATTCAATTACCGAATACTGAAGGGTAAATGTACGTGTTCGACATGATTGCCACGACAACATCACGAATACGGAAAATAAAGATCATTCGTCAAATTTCAAGATAAACAAGAAAGTTTGATGGTTGACATATGATATATGAAATTCATTGCATACAAAAAGAAATGGGTGATAATTTCAATATGGCTGTCGTGGCGACCATATTTCAAATACAGATATTGTACACCGGTCTATTGCGGTCAAAGATCATAAGAGGTGAATATCAATGAACTATAAGAGCATACTCGAATCCATTGGTCAGTTAGAGGTTACAACCCCTCAATAGTATGCCTCTTATAAATCCAGCATACTGGGTCGAGATAAGAAAACAAAATATGAAATTAAATGCGTGAACATGAATGATCTCTCGCTCTCTCTCTCAGTTTTGTATGCTGCATTATATAATCGTTTACGGTGAGTGAGTGAGTGAGTGAGTTTGATTTTACGCCGCTTTTATCAATAATCCAGCAATATGCTGCTACTGACGAGCGAACACCTTAACCGCTAGGCTACCCCACCTCTCTCTCTCTATCCTTCTCTCTCCCCTCTCTCTGTGTATAAGAGTGAGTAATAATTGTACGCAGCTTTTAGAACAATATTACAGCAATATCACGGCAGGGGACACCAGAAATGGGCTTCACACATTGTACCCATGTGGGAAATCGAACCCGAGTCTTCGGCGTGACGAGCGAACGCGTTAACCACTAGGCTACCCCACCGCTACCGCTACCCTACGCCGAAGTCCCGGGTTTGATTACCCCAATGTGTGAAGCCCATTTCTGATGTCCCCCCTCGTGATATTGCTGGACTTTTGCTAAAAGCGGCGTAAAACCAAACTCACTTACTCATTCATTTTAAATGGGGATATTTGTTTCTATTGCGGTCAAAGATCATAAGAGGTGAATATCAATGAACTATAAGAGCATACTCGAATCCATTGGTCAGTTAGAGGTTACAACCCCTCAATAGTATGCCTCTTATAAATCCAGCATACTGGGTCGAGATAAGGAAAACAACATATGAAATTAAATGCGTGAACATGAATGATCTCTCGCTCTCTCTCTCAGTTTTGTATGCTGCATTATATAATCGTTTACGGTGAGTGAGTGAGTGAATTTGATTTTACGCCGCTTTTAGCAATAATCCAGCAATATGCTGCTACTGACGAGCGAACACCTTAACCGCTAGGCTACCCCACCTCTCTCTCTATCTCTTCTATTGCGGTCAAAGATCATAAGAGGTGAATATCAATGAACTATAAGAGCATACTCGAATCCATTGGTCAGTTAGAGGTTACAACCCCTCAATAGTATGCCTCTTATAAATCCAGCATACTGGGTCGAGATAAGAAAACAAAATATGAAATAAAATGCGTGAACATGAATGATCTCTCGCTCTCTCTCTCAGTTTTGTATGGTGCATTTACGGTGAGTGAGTGAGTGAGTTTGATTTTACGCCGCTTTTAGCAATAATCCAGCAATATGCTGCTACTGACGAGCGAACACCTTAACCACTAGGCTACCCCACCTCTCTCTCTCTCTCTCTCTCTCTCTCTCTCTCTCTCTCTCTCTCTCTCTCTCTCTCTCTCTCTCTCTCTCTCTCTCTCTCTCTGTATAAGAGTGAGTAATAATTGTACGCATCTTTTAGAACAATATTACAGCAATATCACGGCAGGGGACACCAGAAATGGGCTTCACACATTGTACCCATGTGGGAAATCGAACCCGAGTCTTCGGCGTGACGAGCGAACGCTTTAACCACTAGACTACCCCACCGCTACCGCTACCCTACGCCGAAGTCCCGGGTTCGATTCCCCAATGTGTGAAGCCCATTTCTGATGTCCCCCCTCGTGATATTGCTGGACTTTTGCTAAAAGCGGCGTAAAACCATACTCACTTACTCATTCATTTTAAATGGGGATATTTGTTTCTATCAAAATGATATATATACATAGACTAAACGTTAGTCTAATAGTACGCTGAATACAGTATATGTGGGACCCTTTGTAACCCGGAATCCTTGGATATCGCGGCGTAACGGTCCGTACCAGTTCACATTGTGTCCTTAAAGTTTATGATGCACACTCTTAATCGTATTTAATCTGGTTTCTGTCCGTACAAGCGGTTTAAGTGTCATTGAAGTTTATGATAACACTCTGAATGTTTGTTTTGGTTTCTGAATATAAAATTTCCTGCCAAACGCACTTTGAAAAATATTCGTCATTGAAAACCAAGACACGTGTTGAAACTGGAACGTGAAACTCTCGTGACAGACAAATAAGGGCTCACTTATAAATATTTCCTTGCATTGTAGTATTGCATTGTTTGTGTGAGAATGGGACACATCATATTTATATCTGGCCAGCAATCAATAAATGCAATCTATGCAAACGGAAAGTCAGATAGAACACCGGCCATCTCCCCATCGCACCCGTGAAGATCCGGGTTAGAATTGAACTTCAGTAACCCATGCTTGTCGTAAGAGGCTACTAACGGGATCGGGTGGTCAGGCTCGCTGACTAGGTTGACACATGTCATCGGTTCCCAATTGCGTAGATCGATGCTCATGCTGTTGATCACTGGATTGTCCCGATTGGACTCGATTATTTACAGACCGCCGCCGTGTGGCTGGGATATTGCGTAGTGCGGTGTAAAACTAAACTCACTCACTCACTCACTCTCCCTCTGTATAAAATCACCCCTAAACATTGCCACAGAAATGTGACCATATGTTCAATCTGAAGCTCTCTGTTGAACTTGTTATATTTGGGTGTGACTCAAATACTGTCACAGATTGATGGTTTTAAGAAAGTGTGTGAACAGAGGTATTCTATTGAGAAAATTAGTTTCTCAAGCAGAAATAAACTCAATAAACTTTACACAAAGTGGGCACTCTGTCATCCACTTTTCAGTTAGTCTAGCCAAGTATAAGTGAAAAGCAGACACATAGTAAAAGCTAGCAGTTTATTTTAAACTTACAACAGAAAAAATATGAATGAGAGAGTGAATGAGTTTCATTTGTCTTCTCTCTTTTTTATAGAAAATGTCAGAATTTCTGTCAATAAGCTTTTTTTTACTGTACTAATGAGAGCCACCCTTTCCCTGGAGGTGATCCTCAATCTTGTAACAGGGACTCTCTGACAATAAAAACATTTAATTTTTAAAAAATCAACCCTAAGCAACAACTATATTTGAACTTATAAGAGGACGTTATGTAATATCACGACGTGGATATAATTTGGGTTTCATCGCTGTCGTCACACAAATTGGTTTCAAAATCCATGCTTGTCGTTAGAGGCGACTAACGGGATCGGGTGGTCAGGCTCGCTGACTTGGTTGACACATGTCATCGTATCCCAATTGCGTACATCGATGATCATGTTGTTGGTCGCTGGATTATCTTGTCCAGACTCTATTATTTACAGACCGCCGCCATATAGCTGGAATATTGCTGAGTGCTGCGTTAAAGAGTGAGTGAGTGAGTGAGTATGGTTTTACGCCGTTTTTAGCAATATTCCAGCAATATCACGGCGGGGGACACCAGAAATGGGCTTCACACAATGTGCCCATGTGGGGATTCGAGCCCGGGTCTTCTGCGTGACGAGCCAACGCTTTAAACACTGAGCTACCCCACCGCCCCCTGCGTTAAAGAACAAACACAAAGTTTCGAAACGATACAACGGTACCCGTCGTTACAGATTGACAGTACCGCATTTCCTCGATTCAACGCCCTGGTGCATATTTATTTCTTTACTCCTCGCAGAGGTTAACTATAGAGAACTCCACGCACGAAAGGTACCAGGCGTTTAATTACGTTCAATCAAAACCCTGGTGTCTATTCGAAACTATTCGAGAGAATTGTATTACGGTATTTGATGAAATAGGTGAAGTACATTAAATATTGCCTCACATTCACATTTGTTGTTTTTTCAGAACCAATGTCTCGCGATTCTGTGTCCGTCGTTTTACCAGCTGTATCAGAAAGAATGCACATTACCAACGGGCCTGTTCGACCGTAATATGTCTCTGTACTATGTGGTAGAGTTGCACCTACTTCCTACGTACATCGACCATCTACACCTGAGAAAGGGCAGCTTGGACCTGTTGTCTGGAGTGCTTCGGGATTCTTACAAACAACAAGGAACGCTAAACAGCTGGCACCTTGAGAAGCTGATTGTCAGTATGTACAGGGAGAACTCATCTCTCGCCAATGAAATAATGAACGAAGAACACACTCATGTCCGACATGAGGAAAATGATGCAGTTGCCAGTGAAGACGGTCGTCATGAAAACATATCACAGTCACCAGATCAGTACGTCATCTCCAGGATAGACATTGAGCTATACGCATCTTATTCAAGTGGAGATTCTGCTGATTTCTTTGAAAGCTTATCAAATCTGCTTTTTAAAGAATTTTCTGTTTCTGTTGAGGGTCGTAATATCACCTTTCGAGCTGTTTATAAGTCAATGCTGCCACAGGTACACTATGTTAAAAGTCATCCGGACTTTGTGTTTCAGGATGAAGATGTTAGTTATCTTATATATTTTAGACCCTTCTCCCTAAAATACGTGAAGCGAAACTGTGCACAGGTTTTGTATTCTCAATCAGATTACACTCTCATTTCGAACAACAGTGTCCTGCTTAAAGAAAATAACATTTTGATATCAGAGGAAAATTTTACTCTTACTGAAGATTTAGGTATTTTGGTATGTCTCTCAACAGTGGAAGATCTCGGGAGCAGATACGAAGAACTAATGGAGGAAAAGCTATCGAGTATTGAGCAAGGGTATGACGTTCTAACCATTCTAACAGCTGTCTGCTTGGTGTTTAGCATGTTCTTCTTGCTCCTATCGTTTTCTGTTTACGCTTTGATACCAGAGTTACGAACATTGCCAGGTTGCAACTTGATGTTTTTGATTAGTTCCCTTTTCCTCGCGCAGGGACTTTTTCTTTTCGGCGCAGGCGCAGTTAGCAATCGCGTGATATGCAAAATACTCGGCGTAGTGATACACTATTTTTGGATGGTCACCTTTGCGTGGATGAATGTCTGCACATTTCACGTTTTTCGTGTGTTTCGAAACATTTTGTCATCCGTTAAACTATCAAATGACAAAAGAATAATCTTACTGAAATATGGAACATTTTCGTACGTGATGCCAGCTGGTATTGTTGCCGTAACCATTTTAGCGAACTATTTCTTGTCTGGTATTTCCACCATTGGGTACAGTGACAGCCGAGCAACCTGTTTCCTCAACCCTGGCGTTATCACTCTTGTAGCGTTCGGTGTTCCCGCAGTCGTCACGGTCGTATGTACGGGGGCCTTCTTCGTATGCACGGTCGTAGCTCTTAGACGGGCTTCAGCTGAACGTGCCAGTGTGGGGAAGAAAGAAACAAAAGTAATCCTTAATTTGGTAAAGCTATCGTCTGTCACGGGTCTCTCGTGGGTGTTTGGTCTTCTGGGGTCATTATTCTCAATTGAAGCATTCAAGTACGTATTTGTGGTCCTCGCAGCTGGGCAAGGCGTGCTCATCTTCCTGAGCTTTGTGTTAAACAAGCGTGTCTTTAAACTGCTTCTTGGTCGTTGTTGTCCAAACCAGCGAGAGAAACGAGACAGGTCAACTTCGTATACTACATGCGGGACTTCGAACATCTCATCCGATTGAAAAGCAGACCCGTAGTAAAAGCTAGCGGTTATTTTAAACTTTACAACAGAAAAATATGAATGAGAGAGAGTGAATGAGTTTCATTTGTCTTCTCTCTTTTTTTATAGAAAATGTCAGAATTTCTGTCAATAAGCTTTTTTTACTGTACACTAATAGAGAGCCACCCTTTCCTGGAGGTGATCCTCAATCTTGTAACAGGGACTCTCTGACAATAAAACATTTAATTTTAAAATCAACCCTAAGCAACAACTATATTTGAACTTATAAGAGGACGTTATGTAATATCACGACGTGGATATAATTTGGGTTTTCATCGCTGTCGTCACACAAATTGGTTTCAAAATCCATGCTTGTCGTTAGAGGCGACTAACGGGATCGGGTGGTCAGAGCTCGCTGACTTGGATTGACACATGTCATCGTATCCCAATTGCGTACATCGATGATCATGTTGTTGGTCGCTGGATTATCTTGTCCAGACTCTATTATTTACAGACCGCCGCCATATAGCTGGAATATTGCTGAGTGCTGCGTTAAAGAGTGAGTGAGTGAGTGAGTATGGTTTTACGCCGTTTTTAGCAATATTCCAGCAATATCACGGCAGGGGACAATTCCAGAAATGGGCTTCACACAATGTGCCCATGTGGGGGATTCGAACCTCGGGTCTTCTGCGTGACGAGCCAACGCTTTAAACACTAGGCTACCCACCGCCCCCTGCGTTAAAGAACAAACACAAAGTTTCGAAACGATACAACGGGTACCCGTCGTTACAGATTGACAGTACCGCATTTCCTCGATTCAACGCCCTGGTGCATATTTATTTCTTTACTCCTCGCAGAGGTTAACTATAGAGAACTCCACGCACGAAAGGTACCAGGCGTTTAATTACGTTGAATCAAAACCCTGGTGTCTATTCAGAAACTATTCGAGAGAATTGTATTACGGTATTTGATGAAATAGGTGAAGTACATTAAATATTGCCTCACATTCACATTTGTTGTTTTTTCAGAACCGATGTCTCGCGATTCTGTGTCCGTCGTTTTACCAGCTGTATCAGAAAGAATGCACATTACCAACGGGCCTGTTCGACCGTAATATGTCTCTGTACTATGTGGTAGAGTTGCACCTACTTCCTACGTACATCGACCATCTACACCTGAGAAAGGGCAGCTTGGACCTGTTGTCTGGAGTGCTTCGGGATTCTTACAAACAACAAGGAACGCTAAACAGCTGGCACCTTGAGAAGCTGATTGTCAGTATGTACAGGGAGAACTCATCTCTCGCCAATGAAATAATGAACGAAGAACACACTCATGTCCGACATGAGGAAAATGATGCTGTTGCCAGTGACGACGGTCGTCATGAAAACATATCACAGTCACCAGATCAGTACGTCATCTCCAGGATAGACATTGAGCTATACGCATCTTATTCAAGTGGGGATTCAGCTGATTTCTTTGAAAGCTTATCAAATCTGCTTTTTAAAGAATTTTCTATTTCTATTGAGGGTCGTAATATCACCTTCCGAGCTGTTTATAAGTCAATGCTGCCACAGGTACACTATGTAAAAAGTCATCCGGACTTTGTGTTTCAGGATGAAGATGTTAGTTATCTTATCTATTTTAGACCCTTCTCCCTAAAATACGTGAAGCGAAACTGTGCACAGGTTTTGTATTCTCAATCAGATTACACTCTCATTTCGAACAACAGTGTCCTGCTTAAAGAAAATAACATTTTGATATCAGAGGAAAATTTTACTCTTACTGAAGATTTGGGTATTTTGGTATGTCTCTCAACAGTGGAAGATCTCGGGAGCAGATACGGAACTAATGGAGGAAAAGCTATCGAGTATTGAGCAAGGGTATGACGTTCTAACCATTCTAACAGCTGTCTGCTTGGTGTTTAGCATGTTCTTCTTGCTCCTATCGTTTTCTGTTTACGCTTTGATACCAGAGTTACGAACATTGCCAGGTTGCAACTTGATGTTTTTGATTAGTTCCCTTTTCCTCGCGCAGGGACTTTTTCTTTTCGGCGCAGGCGCAGTTAGCAATCACGTGATATGCAAAATACTCGGCGTAGTGATACACTATTTTTGGATGGTCACCTTTGCGTGGATGAATGTCTGCACATTTCACGTTTTTCGTGTGTTTCGAAACATTTTGTCATCCGTTAAACTATCAAATGACAAAAGAACAATCTTACTGAAATATGGAACATTTTCGTACGTGATGCCAGCTGGTATTGTTGCCGTAACCATTTTAGCGAACTATTTCTTGTCTGGTATGTCCACCATTGGGTACAGTGACAGCCGAGCAACCTGTTTCCTCAACCCTGGCGTTATCACCCTTGTAGCGTTCGGTGTCCCCGCAGTCGTCACGGTCGTATGTACGGGCGCCTTCTTCGCATGCACGATCGTAGCTCTTAGACGGGCTTCAGCTGAACGTGCCAGTGTGGGTAAGAAAGAAACAAAAGTAATCCTTAATTTGGTAAAGCTATCGTCTGTCACGGGTCTCTCGTGGGTGTTTGGTCTTCTGGGGTCATTATTCTCAATTGAAGCATTCAAGTACGTATTTGTGGTCCGCAGCTGGGCAAGGCGTGCTTATCTTCCTGAGCTTTGTGTTAAACAAGCGTGTCTTTAAACTGCTTCTTGGTCGTTGTTGTCCAAACCAGCGAGAGAAACGAGACAGGTCAACTTCGTATACTACATGTGGGACTTCGAACATCTCATCCGATTCAACCGTAACATCAATGTAGGGCGTGGTAAGTAATGTTAATCAATATGAGTCCGCTCATTGCAATAGCCTCGTTTGAACCGCAGACCCGCAGCTGAAAACAGCCGTCCAGTGAGATTACATTCACGAGGGAAAGCGAAAGCTTGTGGAGAGCTGGTGAACCAGACAGACGTCACATCCGAAAGCTTTCCAATGGAGTCCGGGGTATTCACCATAGATAGAGTAGAAGCAGAATAGAGAAATGTTACTCTGGATCATCGAGGATGTATTGTTCAGTGTTAAGACGAGTGTGTTGGTGGTCACCCGTGGAGATATTGGTTAGAATTCATCTTCAGCAACCCATGCGTCGTAAGAGGCGACTGACGAGATTGGATGGTCATGTTCGCTAACTTTGTTGACATATGTCATCGGTTCCAATTTGCGTAGATTGATGCTCGTGATGCCAATCACTGGATTGTCTTGCCCGGACGAAATAATTTACAGGCCGCAGTCATATAGCGGTAATATTGCTGAGTGCTATGTTAAACAACAACCAGTGATGGGAACACCACCTTGAACACCTTTATCGGTATATGATATAGTACTTTCTTTCTCCGGGTGTGAGACAATTAGTGCAAGCGGAATGCAAGATCAAACCCCTTGTGATATCAAATCTGAGCTGTTTTGGCTTCCGTCACATGCATGCGGCTTAGCTTCGGGGGGCTTTAGGGTGGGAAAACGTGACGACACCCGCACGTGTTGCACATGACGTGAAAACCAAGACACAGGGCTTTCGATCCATAGTAACAACAAAACCCTGTGGTCGATGTACGAAACATAACAAACACCTGCAGCGTGAAATACTGCCGTAAATCGGGTCAAATCGGGCTTAAAAGCGGTCCGGCTTCGAACCCGTTAAAGACAGGTCACTTCTGATGATACCACCAGTTGGCCCTGGGAACCAGCTTCACGTCGATGTTCAACATGTCAATGGGTTGTGTATAGTCGTCGTCCACGCGACGTTTGAACAACAGCACCCACCGTTTCTGGCCCCTGATATAGGGCCTCAGTGTGCTATTCAGGTCTCAGACGACTACCACTTTTGGGGCGTGAGGTAAAGTGCTGACAAATCTAAACACGCAATCGGTTTCTGTAGTGTCAAAGGGACACAACTCTAGACTGCAAACTGCGATGCCTCAGACGACTGGTCCATCCGTGGCCCCTTTGTTGGGATGAATTTCTTCATTCAGTCATTTAGTACGCCACTTATGTTTTTATCCTGTAGTGTTTATTAACACATTTCTTGTTTAGCCTGGTTCTCGGGTTCTGCTGCGCTACGCATCGTCTGTACCGAAGCGTAGCGCAGCACACCCCGGGAACCAGGCTGATTCAATGTTCAGCATGTAGATGTCATCAGTTTCATGTAAGTAAGCTCATATGTGTCCTACACCTTTTGTTTTTTGTATGTAACTGAAAACAACATTGTAAGCATTTTGCATATATACGTTTTGATTTATTTCTGAATGGAAAATGAATTTTGATCAGACGAAATAAAATAAAATTGAAATAGAAGTCAAAATTTATTTCATTATTAAGTCAATGGGTTACCTCCTATTCCATTTTGACCGAGAAAGGGTAGGTCCACATGAAAAGCTTTGATTCATATATTTAAAAGATGCATGTATATTTACCTATATCCTGTGAAATATTCAGTACGTGCTTTGAATAAAGATGTTTTTAGTCACTGAATGGTTCTTTTAGCCTGTATTCTATAATATACATATACAATTAGTACTGACACTCACAAGTCCACGATTCCACAAATGGGTACAATGTGTGAAACCCGTTGCTGGTGTCCCCAGCCAAACTCAACCCATTCCCTCGCTCGTTTATAAGTCAGTGCAGCTAGACATGCCATGCTCTTCCTGAAGGTCCTGGTTAGAATGAACCTTCAGTAACCCATGCTTGTCGTAAGATGCGAATAACGGGATTGGGTGGTCAAGCTAGCTGACTTGGTTGACATATATATGTCATCGTATCACAATAGCGTAGATCGATGCTCATGCTGTTGATCACTTGATTGTCTGGTCCAGACTCTATTATTTACAGACCTACACCATATAGCTGGAACATTGCTGAGTGCGGCGTAAAACTAAAGTCAGTCACTCACTCTTCCTAACGAAATTACAAATCATCCAGCGCAAAGGAAGGACGTAATGAGAAGACAGTGGCCATAACGTACTTTTGACGTGAATGTTATTTTACACAGCATTCAGCAATAGTCCAGCTACATCGAGTCTTGACCATGCAAACTAGAAAAGGAGTGGAACAGGACCAACCTCTAATCCAACTGATACCCATTTAAGTCAGCTCCAGCTACAAGAGGACGGTAGGGTGGCCTAGTGGTTAAAGCGTTCACTGGTCGCACCGAAGACATGGGTTCGATTCCCCGCATGGGTACAATGTGTGAAGCCCATTTGTGATGTTTTCCGCCGTGATATTGCTTGAATATTGCTGAAAGCGGCGTAAAACTGAGCTCACTCACTCTCCCACCAGGTACAAGCATGAGGTACTGCCCATCTTTTCTGACCAAGAATACCAAATGTAATAAACCAAAGCTTGAATGCTTCATCACCGGTATCGGATCGCATTTTGGTTCATCAGGAGGGGGCGGTGGGGTAGCCTAGTGGTTAAAGCGTTCGCTAGTCACGCCGAAGGCTCGGGTTCGATTCCCCACATGGGTACAATTTGTCACTCATCAGAAAGCTCACCTGACACGGCTTTCCAAGGAGAATATAGGAGAAAGTATATGTTGCTTTTGTTTTCATTCAGGAAAAGAATAAAATCATGAAAAGTGCATGAAAACCCCTCCTAAAACAATAGGTCAGCTTGATCTTTCTATACCTACATTTATCAACAAATTGTTTCCGACTATATCTACATCATAAATTCATTCAAAGACTGTTAAAAAGTAAACAACCGTTTTTCATTTTCAAATATTTTGTTATCGTTATTTATTATCTTTTTGTATATATTATTTATTGTTTATTGCCTCTTGTTTCTTGAGGTTGGAGACACATAAAAATATAGATGGCCGAATCGTATGTACCCGTATTTTACAACATCGGTATGGATACATCCATAACAGCCCCATCGATATTGATGTTAGGGCAACATTGGTTTATACTTTGTTTCTCGCGGACTGGGTGCGGTGGGGTAGCCTAGTGGTTAAAGGGTTCGCTCGTCACACCGAAGGCTCGGGTTCGATTCTCCACATGGGTACAATTTGTCACTCATCAGAAAGCTCACCTGACACGGCTTTCCAAGGAGAATATAGGAGAAAGTATATGTTGCTTTTGTTTTCATTCAGGAAAAGAATAAAATCATGAAAAGTGCATGAAAACCCCTCCTAAAACAATAGGTCAGCTTGATCTTTCTATACCTACATTTATCAACAAATTGTTTCCGACTATATCTACATCATAAATTCATTCAAAGACTGTTAAAAAGTAAACAACCGTTTTTCATTTTCAAATATTTTGTTATCGTTATTTATTATCTTTTTGTATATATTATTTATTGTTTATTGCCTCTTGTTTCTTGAGGTTGGAGACACATAAAAATATAGATGGCCGAATCGTATGTACCCGTATTTTACAACATCGGTATGGATACATCCATAACAGCCCCATCGATATTGATGTTAGGGCAACATTGGTTTATACTTTGTTTCTCGCGGACTGGGTGCGGTGGGGTAGCCTAGTGGTTAAAGGGTTCGCTCGTCACACCGAAGGCCCGTGTTCGATTCTCCACATGGGTACAATGTGTGAAGCCCATTTCTGGTGTCTACCGCCGTGATTTTGCTGGAATATTGCGCACAAAACACCCTGTGACTTCACATAATAGGATGTGGTAGTAACTGTTACACTTTCCGACCTAAAGCACCTCCCGTCTGTTACCACATTCGTAGCTACTCGTCCCTTTCAGTAACCTGAAAGAAGACTCGTACCCCTCTCGTAGCCATTTTACTGAACTTGACTCTGCGCGCAAAAGTGCAGCGAGAAAAAAATAGTCTAGTCGCCGAACTATTACAAGGGCATGGAACTCTAGTTTACTTGGAAAACAAACATGGCATCCACATCAAGGAAATTACCTCAAAGGGTATGTTTAACCAGAGACCATATAATAGAGGGACGGCCCTCCCCAACAGTTTATCACTAACCATCAGCGCTACGGCCTGGCATGCAACTGATACACATCGACACCCCGCTGCTAACTTCCCTCTACCGGTACACATGCGCAACAGATGCGCAGACATTCGCAAATGAGCTCTCTGGTAACCACGTAAACAATATTGCGTAATATCCGGGCCGAGAGTTAATTCCCTTATATGGTCTCTGGTTTAACACGCTTAAATACTTTCCTACGCCATAATGTTAATATATCCTGCTTATAAGATTCAGGAAACCCAGGAGGACTATGCAATAATTAAACTATACTTGAAGTGTCTGGGAAAAAAATATGCAAAATTATGAAAATTATTTCAGCTAACTATTTTGTCCCATTTTCTTCTCCTACATACGCGCATTCTGATTGGCTAGGGGAAGATGTCTCCCGGACATGGCTACGAGAGGGGGACGAGTAGTTACGGATGCTGTTACCATTGTATTGCTTCCTTGTCTTGACAATAGCACTTATATATTTATACATCTCACTTCCTACTACGTGTCACTAGGGCATCTCTAGAACACTGACCACACACACCGAGACAACAAGTGTACCACTGGCAAACAAAAAGTTGTTTAAAAAACCATCATGCAATATTGTGCTATTTTCACGCCTCACACCGAGGGGTGACAAACGGCTGGTGGAACAGAGTTATTGAACCCAAACGGACTCTAATATCTTCAAGAGGGGGGCGGTTGGGTAGCCTAGTGGTTAAAGCGTTCGCTCGTCACGCCGAAGAAATAATAAAAATAACCCATGGTTGTCGTAAAAGGCAACTAGCGGGATCGGTTGGTCAAGCTCGCTGACTGGGTTGACACATGTCATTGTATCCCAATTGCGTAGATCGATGCTCATGCTGTTGGTCACTGGACTGTCTGGTCCAGACTCGATTATTTACAGACCGCCGCCAGATAATATTGCTAAATGCGGCATAAAACTCAACTCACTCACTCAAGATAGGAAGGAAAAAAAACAGGAGAGAAAGGAAAGAGGTGAGGGGAGGCGAAATTGGGTTTAACGTCGTGCTTGAGAATATTTCGCTCATATGACGACGTGCATGCGTGTGTATGTGTATGTGCGGCTGCTTGTACTAGCCCAGACTGATGCTGGTTTTATAGTGCTAGCCCACTGAGATACCATGCCGCAGTGAAGCAGGAATACCCCACTCAGACACATTATACTGACTCCGAGCCGACCAGTCCTTGTTGTACCCATTAATGCCGAGCGCCAGGCAGGGACCATCAAGTACCATAATATTATTTTAACGTCTTTTGGTATGACGCGGTCGGGGATCGAACCCGCGACCTTTCGCTGTCCGGACGGACGCTCTAACCACTACACCACGGATGCGGTCTAGAAAGGAAAGAAGAAATGGCAAGGGAGGAAGGGGTGGGTGTGAGGGGTGCGTATCATTTCCCTATTTTAACTAGTACCACATGTTCACGTTTCCCTTGTGGCAGGATCAACCACTGAGTCAGACTCGTCACTAATTGCCAGTGATACATAAACACATGATCACGATATACACTTAGTTTGACTCGTAAATCGACTCTGCCTATAGTTGAGATATATTTCATATACATCTGAAGAGGGTTGCGACTTTTATTAGAAAATGTATGGTAATTTTATTTCACATAGACGAGACATACATATACATGTTCCTATTTATGTTTTTCTTTGCTTAAAACTGTTGTTGTTGTCAGACGTATCCCAATCTAACAGGATATAGTTCAAGGAAATAGAATAATGCGTTTTTCACGCATACAGTTTAAGTGCATTTGTTTGTTTGGCCTGACAGAAGAATGGTACATTTCACCGGCTGTTAACATCACAGTAAGTACTCAATATTACATTATTCTGCTCTAGTGTGTTGGATTTCGTTTAAGGTTGCAATGAGTCATATTCCAGCTATGTAACAATGTTCTCTAACTAGTCGAGTAAATGGTCGTCTCGATCTTCGCACGTGAGATACGAAGGCATGCATCAGCTGTGTTAGACTAACGCTTAGTCTCTGAATATATATAATTTTGATAGTAACAAAGAAGCCCATTTAAATTGAAAAGGAGCCCTAGGGAGACCAGAGATTCAGAACCTGAGGAAATCTAGACTTGCTTTATTTAGGGCTTTAGCACTGCAGAGAGAGCTTGGCAGTAGGAAAAATAATGTGGTTCAGGAACTGTGAGACAGACTACAACTGTGTCAGCGAGCCTTGCCACGCTATTCCTTAAGGCGAGTCGTGGGACAGATATTGGTTGCTGAAGATCTACCCTGATCTTCACTGTGATGTTCGTTAGAGTTTACATATTTGTTACTTTACGCCTTCTTTCAATATTCTGTATATGCTATAACTGCGAGTGATGACTGATATATGCTAAGCTTCAGATGGGGGAGGTCGGGTAGCCTGATGGTTAAAGCCATTTTCTGGTGTCCCCCGCCGCAATATTGCTGGAATATTACGCGATTTCATGGAATCTTTAATTGAAAATAATCTCTTGTTTTGCACCTAAGTGAAATCATTTTAGGCCCCACACATCACACAGAAATGCTAAAAGCATTAATCCTTCGGTCATACATAGCTCACATATTAAGATAAAAACGATTTTCCGATTTCAAAGCAGAAGTCTACTACACCACAAAGTTTTTACGTATGCGTAAGCCATTTGAGTGGATTGCCTCACCCCAAAAATATGTATGACCAGGAATTGACACAAAAATCTTTACATATGATAGGCCGTTTTTCTTTAACTTATCTTTAATTGATATTTCAGAATATTAAGGGAAAATGCTGGCGAAAAACAAAATGCTGTTAAACGTTCTGCTGCTATTGCTGGCGATCCAGAATCTACACGTTATGACACTCGTAAGTAAATTTTATTGCATAGAAAATGTTACGACACTAATTTTGTATGGCCAGAAGTTTGTTTAAGGTCGAGAGATATAGACAACACTAATTAATTTTATCCCTTTCCTTTCGTTTGTGTAAACATGTGATCTGATAAGCAATTCTTCGGTGAAATCCAAATTTTGTGTAATAGACTATAATACTTCCAAATACCCTGTAGTGTAACTGTAAACCGGACGATTTAAAGCACATGACTTGTAAAACCCCCGTCTACATTATAGATGTCACCCCTCCACGACGCCGATATTTTGAAATTCACTCCATGGCAAAGTGTCGCATATACTGATGAATTTATTAAATACTAGTTTGTAATTGTTTTCTCCTTTCTCGCCCTGCATTGCATGATCAGGGACGTTAGCAGTAGTGGCCATGCTATGGCCGGCATGTTTCTACCACTGGGTGCACATCGCTCTATGCGAAAATATTACTGTCAAATGTACCCAACTTCCGGTTGATGTAGCCAATCAAAACAAAATGGCAAATGGCCTGATAGCCGGTTCTCGGGCTCTGCTGCGCTAACGCTTTGACACTGTCGATACCCCGGGAACTAGGATGGTGGCTTGGACCAAGTGATTAAGAAATGAATTCGAATTCGAGATACCTATACCGTTATTGTCAGAATTTATTCTGAACACCACCCCCCCCCCAAACACACACACACACACACACACACACACACAACAACAACAACAAAAAAGCAACACGTAGCAGATGAATGTAAGGGAGGTAACTCCGCAAGTATACCATACCATGGTGGACTTGTGATTCAACAGGTATATTTAGAGTTAACTCCCCTGTTCCTTCACTCCATTAAACCGGAAGCTGGCAGGGGGAATGGAGGCGAAGAATGATTTGATATGCCACGAGTTGCGCTTAAAATGTTGAATGAAATATGTTTTACGTGAGTAATTATTAATATGATGTTGGAAAAAATCTGAGAGCACAACCCTGTGAGAAAATGTGTGAGTACCTTTTATCGTGGCACTATTCTATTTTGACTTTACAAATAATTTTCGAACGGAAGCGAGGAAAGTACAATACCAAGCTTTGGTCACGTTGCTCGCATATATTAAGACTGGTACTTTTCTCTGTGTTGCGCAACCCTATTTGCGCTGCAGTTTGTCTGTGCTTAAATATAACAGTTCAGTTTAATTAAATTGGTCCAATCATCTGATGCTTATTTTTCATTTTCAGAAAACCCAGGGATCTTCTGATGATGACATTGGTGAACTAATTTTTAGTTACGAAATAAAGTATTGCGAATCCAGATGTTCAGCGACAACTCGAAATGATGCCATGTCCCCGTTTCCGGCAAATGACAGCGTGTGCCCACGTTGTTTCTGTGACAAGAAGTGTGGAGACTTTGGTGACTGTTGTCCTGATCTCAAATTTGGCAAAGAAGAGTACAAGCTAGAGTGTGTTGAATTATCTCAAGGATTTTCTGAGGCCATGCGCATCTATGTGGTGACACGGTGTTCCCTTGGAGATGAGCAATATTCGGAAGAACTCGCTTGGAAATGCAACACTTCCAAAGAAAACGTGCCAGTTTCCATTCGAAGAGAAAACTCGACTTCCTTAACTTTTAGAAATAAATATTGTGCGCAATGTCATGGTTTTGAACATTTTCAAACATGGGACATAGGTATTGCGTGTGACCAATTTCCAGAAGAAATCAGCAATATCTCCGAGCCAGCGAATATATATGAGTGGTTACAAACATCGGATGTGTGTAAAATTGAATATCTCGTACCTACGAACATTTCCACTCGAATGTGTTCTGAAATCTCTGAGTGTAATGTCACAGGGCATTGGGGGTTAAAAAATGATTCAATTGAGGCTGCATGTCTTGCCTACAGTCATGTCACTAGCTGGGGTTATCAGAATATATTCTGCCACATTTGCAATGAAGGTTACATTACGGAACCGTGCTGTTTGCAACCCGGTATTCGCACGATGAGGGTCAAGTCGTTGACTGGATTGTTGCAGTTTGAGGAGGAACACCTGGATTTGCCACCTGTTGAGAATAAATGCCTTGGAGGAGAATACCACGACAGGCTCACGGTGAGTGAAGACTGATTGTTTTCGTCGTTGGGCATGGCTGTTGTGCGTGCGTGCGTGTGTGTGTGTACAGATGACGATGTGCGTTTGGATTTTTTTAGGGTATGTAGATGTGATGTACATTTGTATGATGTTGATGTGGATCGTGTGATGTGGATCGTGTGATGTGGATCGTATTATTGTTGATGTAGTATGGTGTTGTTGGCGTGGTGTGGGTGTGGGTGGGTGTTGTTGGTGTGGGTGGGTGTTGTTTGGTGTGGGTGGGTGTGGATGGGTGTTGGTGTGTGTTCGGGTGGGTGGGTGTGGATGTGGGTGGGTGTTGGTGTGGATGGGTGTGGGTGTGGATGTGGATTAAGAAGAATTTGAAGATATGGATGAAGAAGATGTTTATGTTGATGTTGGTGTTGTGGGTGTAAGTGTGTTGTGATTGGCTATGGCTGTGGGTGGGTATGGATGTGGATGTAGATGTTGGTGTACGTGCAGGTGTAGCTGAAACTAAGGGTGTTTTGGATGTATATGTTATCGTGAATTTGGTAGGTGAGGGTGTTGATGTGAATTTAGATATAAGTGTAGTTGTATGTAGAGGTGGGCGAGGATGTAGATGTGGATGTGGATGTAATTATCGCCGATGCTGCCGGTGCTGTAGATGTGGATGTGGAATATAAGTTCCGAAATGTATGTAGATATGATTGTTTTGTTCGGGGATGTAGATGTGCGTGATGTTGTGGGTACAGATGGGGATCTTGTGGATGTGGTTGTTGTTGTTGTAACTTGTTGTTGTTGACGTCGGATGTTAATGAGACTGAGCGCAGTTGTAAATCGTCGACGGTTGCCGTATTCTTCCCCACACATCTCGAATACGACCTAAATTGACAATTTCCGAACGCAGGAAAAAGCGCCGTCATTATATTGTTGTTCTTTGATGTTAATATTTTACCTACCCCTTTTGTCTGCTTTTTCGGAATGTTTTCGAAATTGAATTATCCTTTCGGAAATCAGACATCTAACTGGTTCATTAAACCAAGTGTCCTTCATTTAGTTTAGGCAGTTCATAGCAACAAATCTAGTAAAAGAGTTTAATTAGATTGAAGCTTATGACTATGGTATAATGAAAGACGTCTCTTTTAATCAATATGATACAGATTGCTACTAACATTATTAACTCCACTGCGTGTTACTAGGTTTCATATTTATATATTCAAGAAACAACAGCCTTCAACAAGAAAAATGAAATATTCAATAAATAATGAACCAACATCACTGAACTGATTTTATTTCCTTGCAGGACCGATGCCATAAAATACTTTGCCCTCCGTTTCAACACCTGAAGAATAGAGAATGCAAAGACATTTTCGCGCCCTTTGTAAGAATGTCGGAGTATTTTATTGATATTTTTCTAGTCCCTATTGTAACAAAGACCTTTAAAACAGCCAATTTGACTCAGATTACCCGTGTATTGGCAGATTACTACATCTCAAAAATTCTCGGAAATGATACAGCAACGGAGAAGGTGGTTGTCACCGTTAATATCAAGAACTCTTCAGATGCTGATCCAGTATTGAACAAGGGCGATAATTACAACGAAATTAATGCTTCCGATATTTCCAGCATAGATGTCAGGTTATATTTTGCTGTTAATTTTACCACTGCAGATTCCTTTGCAGTTTTTGCCGAACGCTTATCAAACCTTCTTTTTGGAGATGCATCTCATTCCGACGAGGCAATGAACATTTCTTTGCGTGCTCTCTACAAAGACATGCTGCCAGATTTGCAGCGCAGTACTAATTATACTTCGGTATATGAGCCTGATGAGATCGATGAAGATACTTTTAGAGCCTTTCCAAGAAGGTACATCACACGTAAATGCCCCCACGTGTTGTACCCTCAATCTGACTACACACTGGACAGTACAAATGCATTGCTGAGGAATAGCAGTTCGCCTATTCCAGAAGTCAATTTTACTCTTACTGAAGATTTAGGTATTTTGGTATGCCTATCAACGCTTGAAGATTTACAGTTCGAGGTACGCAATGACAGTGAAGGTATTGCGAATGCTGACTTAGAACAAAGCTACGATATTCTTACCATTCTTACAACAGTTTGTTTGTCTGTGAGTATGTTCTTCCTGGCAGTGTCATTTTTGGTGTATATAACGCTGGCTCCGTTACGTACTCTGCCAGGGTGCCTCTTGATGAGTTTGATGGTTTCTCTTTTCTTTGCACAAGGTTTATTTCTATTTGGGGCAGGTGCTCACGATAATACCGTAGTATGTCAAATAATGGGTGTATTGATACATTATTTCTGGATGGCCAGCTTTGCATGGATGGGGGTCAACACCTTTCACGTTTTCCGAGTATTTCGAAACATTTTGTCTTCGGTTAACCTATCCGGCAATAAAAGGAAGATCTTTTTCAAGTACGTTGCCTTTGCTCACTTGACACCAGCTGTTATTGTTGCCGTAACCATTCTGACGAATTATTTCATGTCTGGTAAATCAACAATAGGATACAGTGATAGCGGAGAAATCTGTTTCCTCAATCCTGGCATTGTTTCCTTGGTAGCGTTCGGCGCCCCAATTTTTACCACTGTCGTCTTTACCATCGTGTTCTTTGTGTCCTCTATGACAGCTTTTAGACGATTGTCAAAAGATCGGGTACAGGCAGGGAAAAAAGAGCAAGGAACCCTTCTTCATATGTTAAAATTAGCCTCCATAAGTGGTATGTCGTGGTTATTTAGCCTTTTTGAATACCTATTTAAAATCAAAGCATTCAGTTATGTTTTCGTGATCCTTGCTGGTGGGCAAGGTCTGTTAATATTCTTGAGTTTTGTATTCAAACTGCGTGTGTTAAAGCTGTGTATGAAAGGTGGAACGAGATCTGTTTCCAGCAGCAGTAAACGTGTAACCTCAAGGGTAACATCAAGTTCAAATGTTTCCTCCGGCACGAGTCCCCGTGCTTAATCCAGGTAAACCCTTGTTCAATTTCTCAACCGTGAAGATACGGGTTCGTATTAATCTTCAGTAACCCATGCTTGTCGTTTGAGGCGACTAATGGGATCGGGTTAGGGTCGCTGACTGGGTTGTCACCGTATCCCAGTTGCGTAGATCGATGCTCATGCTGTTGATCCCTGGATTGTATGGTCCAGATCCGATTATTTACAGACCTCCGCCATATAGCTGGAATATTGTTGAGTGCGGTGTAAAATTAAACTCACTCACTCACTTGTTCAATTTCTTCACCGCCATATAGCTGGAATATTGCCGAGTTCGGCGTTAAACAACAAACAGCGGTAAAACACCAAAGACTTTGGGCTATTTGGATCCGTTTCTCTCCGTCACGACAAACTAAAATTAATAATTCCCCATTTATCCGAGAATTGGTCCCCTGTAACTTAGGCCTGTCGTGCGAGACTTGCTCGTGTGGACAAGGTTCAGTAAACTAGCCAGTTGTGTGTCATGTCACCCAGCAGCTTAGGGGGATCAACAGTCATGCTTGATTGATTGTGCAAATACCGTTACCCGTGTCATCACACCATGGCAGCAAATGATTACAATCACAGGTTCGTCTGGTCATGCCAAGTGTTTCAATGGCTGTAGTGTAGCTGAATGTTACGGAGTGCCGCACGTTGTCAACCAAAAAAGCATGCAATACAGTTGGCAACAGAATATCATCTAAGATTTTACAAAAACTAATCACAACACGTACTTTCAGTTTACCTTAACTCGGTGCATTGCCTGTTAATGTTGTTCATTGGGATACTTGCAAACAGTAAAGTATTCAGAAACCTGATTTTTGTTTTTATTGTTGAAAATCCGGACTGGTAATTTTTAAAAGTTACCAGTCCGGCTGTCTGGCTTGGAATTTTGGGAGCTTTAAACACTGGCTAGAAGCGGCGTAAAACTAAACTCACTCACTCATGATCACGCACTCATTTCTACAGTTGCCAGCCGAATATCATCTGAAATACCTATCAATACGCTAAGTGTTCATTCCATGTTCTACTTGTTGATGTTTATTGTAGCTGTACATTATTTACATATATCAAAACACTAATGAAATCAAGTTAATAAAATCATTACAACTGTATGTTCCAAATAAATGAACTCGCGTGTCTTGTCACAAGATGTGTGACAATCTCCCAAAGTTTTAAAAAATAAATTTCAGCTACAAACTACACGAAATTGCAAGTAATCAGACAAGCTATTACCATCACTCTTTCAGAGTAACATATTATATAATAATTATTTACTCTAGGGACATGAAATTTATGAATGTTAGTGTGTATATATATTATCGACCGCAGCCCATAATATCTGTAAATGCAATGAAATATCAGCGTTCGAAATACCTGCCTGCCCGACCGCCCGGGACGGGTTATTTTCAACACGGACAGACAGATTCTCAAATTCACCTGCCCGACGGTCGGGTTAAAATTTAGACATGTATATGAAGATATTTTGTGAACAGGTAAGTTTTGGTCTGGGCTGGCAAGTTCTACATCTAACCAGCACTGTGGTCTGGCTGAAAGGTTTGAGAGTTTCATACCCAGGAAATATATAGAATATTGTTTTTATGAATTCTTGGTTTGTTTTCATTCATCCGTTTTGTAGAACTGTATATAGCTAGTGAGATATTTTTAAATTATTATATAATTGTGTATGATATTCATTTACGATGTTACCTATGTAAAGTCTGTGACGTAGACTCCATGTCTGTTATAAAGTGCTGTAATTAAAACTATTCTATCTATTACGTTTCCTTTTGTGTTCATTATTATGCCTGTTATATACATTGTGAATATGTTTGTACATAGTGCTTTAAACAAATTATATTCATTATTCTATAAATTAGATGATAAACATTTCGTTTTTCGTTTGTATCCTCACTGTAGATTCGACTCCCTGTAATTGAAATACATGTTGCTGAGCAATCCCAGCCTCCCATTCTATCAGTGTCGTTTAAATTTCAGCCTTCAATTCAATACTATTTTTTTCCTGCTCCAACAATGTCACCCATTTTTCGGTTAAAGTTCAGATTAAACTGTTACCAAATCTTCCTGGTTCTTGGGGTCTGTGCGGAAGTGGTGTGTATTTAAAGATTTACATGTGATGTACAATGGAAACCCTCGACAATGTATACGTGCATTGTCTGTGGTACATTTCCTACAGTGACTGTACCTTCTCACCCTCACATTTATGTTAGCACGTTTGTGAGTGAGTGAGTTTAGTTTTACGCCGCACTCAGCAATATTCCAGCTACAGCGCCGGTCTTTAAATAATCGAGGCTGGACCAGACAATATCACGTTTGTGCTTCGTGCGACTCAGTTACTAATCCAGAACAATGGTAAAACATGCCGTGTGTACCATGTCGTATTGAAAACACCTTCTCCCAGTCTGAGTTCGAATCACAGGCTCGTTTAGGTTTGTTTGCGCCATACCCTTGGTCGTGAATTTTTACCAGCGTGTTAAGGCCTTCACCACCCACGCCTTTCTCCTACAGTAAGATTACCCCGTGATATAACTCAAATAGGGGCGTTTTACCAAATTCACTCACTCACTCTGAACATGTTCCTTATTTCTGTACAATTTCTTAACTCCTTTGTTCCCTTTGTTAACCTCAATGAATTGAGTAATGTACTACCAATGTCTAGAGTATGAGTGGGTGTGAGTGTGAGTGAGTGTGTGTGTGTTTTGTTTGTTCTCTTTACCCAATGATCAACCCTGTCTTCTTTTCTTTCGAGTGAGTGAGTGAATTTGGTGTTCGCAGCTTTTAGCAATATTCAAGCAACATCACGGCCGGGGCTTCACACATTGTACCCATGTGGGGAATCGAACCCAGGCCTTCGGCGTGACGAGCGAACGCTTGAACCACGAGGCTATCCCACCGCCCCCTTTTCTTAGTACAGTTCAATACTTGCGTTATGAGTGAGGGGATTAAGCCGTATGTTGTGTCGGCCTCCCGCAGCCATCTAAACTGACGTCGAAAAGTAAGTAAGTACACTAAACGCCAAAAGAAACGTTACTCTCCTACCTTTATGAATTACTGAAAAACTATCAAAGATATGTTAGAAGGTATTAGTTTTCAAGAAAGCTTAACAACACAGCTTTATGCAAATCACGAAAAGAAATTCTCAAATGCATTCATATTTAGGTGAAATGCATCTCTTTCAGAAGAGTTAAAATGTCCTATATTTGTCCATGCCGAAATATACCAATAACAGTGATTTAGATGTCCAAAAGAAAGGATGAAACACAATTCTGCTTTGGGACAATGATAAACCATTTAAAGTCACCATTTTTCAACTGTGTAAAATTGTAAAATAATCATTCCTATGATTTCAGTCTTTTAAAGCATTTTCTGCTGATTTGCATTAGTGAAAACAAGTATTGTGAAAAAATGTATAGGAACATGTCAAATTATCTTTGTTAACATTTTTGCTAGCAAAGTAGCATTTTTCAATTTTTCTGTATACACATAGCAATATCAATCGCCAAAACGCAGCAATATTCAAGCAGTATTTGCATCCATTTCACATGTAGAATGCTTCTATAGGGTATAAAGAGAGCCTAGAATATATGATATGATACACAAGTACGAGAAATATGCCACGATTAACATCTGAAGAGAGAGAAAGAGCCATTGGGATGGTGCAGATTGGGTCGACATACAATGCTGTTGCCAACGCCCTCGGATGCTACCGTATCACGGTTGTAACACTTATTCAGGGCTTCAGGCAGACTGGGGTTACCGTAGACAGACCAAGAAGTGGACCTACATACATCACAACACCAGCTGAAGACAGGTACCTCCGTCATTAAGGAAGGAGGTATTAGACGTTTCTTTTGGCGTTTAGTGTACATACCTGGTATTCTGGGGTTAACTTCCTAGCCACAAAATAAATATTTTAAAAAGTGTTTTGATTACATTTAATTTCATAATTATTGAGGATGCATTCATTTCATTTGTCGGAGGGTGTGGGGTTATAGTGGCAGTATTTAATAGATCATATTTCCACAACCAATAAACCATTTACTAGTATATACCTAGCGCCATGAAACAAGCACATTCAATGTACCATCCTCGCTCTTTCAGGGTGATGTGTATTCACTTCCCATACTTAATTTAGCATAGCAAAATGACTGAGTCTTGAATATGAGTGAGTGAGTATGATTTTATGCCGCATTTTGCAATATTCCAGCAATATCACGGCGGGGGACACCAGAAAATGGGGTTCATACATTGTACCCATGTGTTGAATCGAACCCAGGTCTTTGGCGTGACAGGGGAACGCTTTAACCCCAAGGCTACCCCACCGGCCCGTCTTAAACATGAACTGTAACAGGGACAGAATATGTTTTAGTACTATTACTTTATTCGTACTTAAAGACACCTGACTTGGTCGTTTGGTAATTATCTGATATCTTCTTTCCTAATTTGACATATTTCATGGGGTAACACCGCACACAATATATCATGCTTGCGGCATATAATCAGCTTATTTTAACAATACGATAAGGATATGGATAGGTTTGGGCATATATACTCTTTACAAAAAGTAGGGGAACATGAACTTTCAATTTGGATAGGACGTATAATATAAGCGTTAGCAAACTTTTCAAAGACAGACATATTGTAAACGCGCCACCATTTCTCTTTATCGCCACCCCTAAACACAACGCGTGAGATGCCCGCACACAAAGCAGTAGCCTCATACACGTGCATGGGATGTCATTCTTGATTTTGACGGTTTCCAAGGAGGTTGGAAAATCACCGACCATTATTTTGACAATCATCTTGCATCACACAGACGTTAGTGTTTGTTTCTAGCCGTTTGTCATACACCAATCATCTTTCAGAGCGATTACGGTACAAAGTACAAGTAGTGATGCACTCTCAAAACATTCATTATTATCATATCAACATTGTCTGACTCCGATATACCTCCCATATTTATCAATCGTAAATTTAAATGGACTTCCCCCTTTTTAAGAGTATATATGAATCACTTATTCGTAGACTCAAAACTTAATTCAGCATGTATTTTCGACCCGGAAATAAATTCTCGCTGATTGCTCATGCTTCCAACCTCCTTTCGTCTATCAACTAATATTTCCTTTAAGTACATGGCGTGATGCACGTAGCTTTAGACAGATATAGCTTCCAGGTTTTGAACAGGAAGATAGATCACGTACTCATAGGAGTATACCGTAAATAACAATTCAGTCCTGACATTACCCCTGTGAATCACATAACCTGCCACAATTAAAAACAGACTTAAAAAAGGTAGATCGGTGTCTTATGAAATCAACATTTCTCAAATTATTACAATGGAAAATGAATAAAGTGAGTCGTTTTTAGTCATATCACCATTCTCGGAGAATCATTGTTAAGGATTCCTAGAAAGGACATTGTCGCATTGTCGCGCTTTGAACAATATTCTTTTATTCATCCAAACGGTGACAAATGTGTGATGGTGTGTGGTCCTGTGCACAGAGCTCGGTCACAAGTCAGTTGAAGATAAGCAACGTTAGGCGCGGAGAGTACTTGGATGGGTGACCGTGTGTGACAGCTTGACTCTTCAGAGTTTCTAGGACTTCAGTCCTGCCACACAACGAAACGAAGCACATGTGATACATGTGGTCTCACCTTAGGCAAGTGAGTTTGATAAAAAATGCCTCTGTTTACCCAGCAGAAAATGGGTACCCGGTGAAGTAAGTCGTGAGACTATTAACCTTCTAGCACCTAACCCGTACCTTGGGTTATCCGGGGTAATAATGATCAGATTGTGCGCTTTGAGCAGGATATCTAGCCTTAAAAATATTCTTATTATATATGGCCAAAATGTCGCGTTGTCGCACTTTGGTTAATTTTGCCACTTTTTTGCACAGGCCCCCACTGCGGGTCAGAAAATCGATAAACTAGGCCCCGGTTTTGTATCAACACCCCCTACTATATAATATAGAAAGGTTCATCACAGAAATACGGTGACATGATCGAAAACCGGACAATTACGCACATGTCAATGAATATATCGTATTTTAAAGGTCTCACAAGTATCAAAAGCTTTTGTCCATATCTCCGATGTATGTATGAGGCATATACATGGGCTTTCCGTGGGGATGCATTTGATGGTTTTTATTAAATCGCCAAAGACCGAGTTGCTGTGCCGGAAGTGTACAAAACTAGCTCGACTTCACTACCTCCGGCGATATGATTGGCTAACACATTACACTGAATGAATGTGTTTCTTTAAAAAAATATTTGTACTCGTTTTTAAAATTATGCTTACCAAGAGAAAACATCAGATAGTGACATCTTGGATGATAGACGTTTGAGTTTCCCTCTCACTTTCGCACGTGCATTTGTTGTCATTTTATTTACCAATTTGATTGCGCTGACGACCTAGTTTTGTACACTTCCGGCACAGCAACTCGGTCTTTGGCGATTTAATAAAAAACATCAAATGCATCCCCACGGAAAGCCCATGTATATGCCCCATACATACATCGGAGATTCCATACAGTATTTCCTCGTCAAAGCGTATCATCATAAATCTCTTTATTTCTTGCATTGGTTCTGTCAATAAAGTGGAAATCAATGGTCCCATCGACACCGGGGAAGCATTACCGAAATAATGTTGAACATAAGTCGTGTACTGTGTGGCACGTGTTGGTTCGTGATGTGAGGAGTTTGCTGAATGAGTGAGTGAGTATAGTTTTACGCCGCTTTTAGCAATATTAAAGCAATATCACGGTGGGGGAAACCAGAAATAGGCTTCACACATTGTACCCATGTGGGGAATCGAACCCGGGTCTAAAGCGTGACACACGGAAGCTTTAACCACGAGGCTACCTAGCTGAATAATATCCGCAAACGGGAATACGTATAAAGGTATCATGGAAGCACAATGACTTGGTTTCGGTTGCACCCGAGGGGTAAGAATATAGCACCCCAGAAACCCTTGATGTAAGGGGGAACGGGTTGTCAGGTCAGCCCGGCACGTCTTTGCATCTCACCCGTGTGAGGACCCGGGACAATCTGGCTTGGATTTG